CTTAGTGGTTGACATATCTCTCATTTCATCTTTGCAGGATTTATTTTATATTTCTTTGCTTGTACTTCTGTACTGTGACTATATTTGTTAATTTTTTCTTATGTATATTATATTTTATAAAGTGTTTTTATATAATTAATTCTATGAATTAATCGATGTTCAAGTTTGGTTTATTATTATTTAACAAGTGTCTGTGTTATTGCAAAATTCTTCTTGATGTAATCGATGAATTTCTTTATTGAACGTTTGACCTCTCTGTGCTGCGTGTAAGTGATCTTGCAGGGGCGAGTGAAAGCTTCGCCACTTTTTGATCAACGCACGTTTATAAATTTCCTTCGATTTAAAGTTAAGAGTAATGTCAGCTTTACGACAATTTCGAAATGAAGGGGAAGTAAAAGTACGCTATATAATCGTATCAAACGTTTTTATATCTCCTTTGTATTAATATAGGTATGGACAGGTACGTGATGTTTCCCAACATATTGGTCAAAAGGATCGTTAATTTACTTTTACTCTATCTACCCGTTGTTGTGTGTGATTCACCTGAAGGAGCACCTTCTGTTTTTACGTCATAAAGTATGTGAAATTAGAAAGTTTCATTGGGAACAACCAGTCACGTGGAAACGCTGGTTGCTGTGAGTAGTCTGACACGATCTCGTATAAGCTAGTCTATCTACTGCATCACGGAACGACCTCATATCTAAGTCTCCAATAAAGACGACTGTTCATTGTGCCATATTATGACGTAATTTCACACAAATTTTCAATTGATACGTCACGCTTCGACAACGTAAGGCGTTATATACCATAATAAACAATTGATTTTCAACGAAAGTATAGAAAAATATGTGTATCATAAAAACATAATATCGTTCTGACTGCCTCTTCCATGATAAAAGTTTTTTTTTGTCCCTGTTGGTTCAGGGTTTATAACACTTAAATTCTTGGTTCCGATCCATGCGATAAACACAGAGCAGATTGAGTAGCTTTTCACTTAAAATAAACAAATAACAAAAGTATATCAGAGGCAAGGCATGGAACATACGTCCTTACAATAACCAATTGACTTCTACAAATGTGTTGTTCACTTTGAAATATATCTGGTGCCAGTTCACACGGTTAAGTTTAGTGATACATTAGGATTTATAAAATTATGAATAGGCACTGTAATACATCTGTAAAAATAAAAATAACTTGTTTTGTAATAATATCACAAAAGCAAAGCAATAAAGGAAGATAGTTGGGTTTATTATAATTAATTGAACAAAACCAACAAAAATTAAGCACATTTACTCAGTTATATACCTGAAGATATGAAATAGATTCCTTAACACCTCTTGTGCTATTAATTTGTTTTAACAAATCCTGTTCCATTATTTTATTAATTTAAACCAATTATGCATACTAATTGTTATAATATTACAAAAAATAAGAATATAATGTTATTAACGTTTTATAGAGTTTGAAACTATTACGTTTCTTCATTTTGAAGAAGGAGTCTGAGATTAAGTAAGCCTGCAGAATTAAGACGCTAAAATGCGGGTTTCGATACTCGTGGTGAGCAGAGCGTAGATAGAGCATTATATAGCTTCGTGGCTAAATATAAAAAAAAATCACAAACCATTTTAGGAATGAAACGACCAGCAAGCTGTCCTCATTTTAAGAAAGCATAATTTCTAAAACATAAACATAGATGAACGTGTATGGTCGTTTAACTTCAATTTACCATTTGCTTTTGTGTTCCTTCACGAAGACCCCAATGTAGCTACCACAATGGGGGGGAGGGGTCTTTTTCGCCCATAACACCTGAGCATGTGTGTCAAATTTGGTTCCGTTGGCTTGTAAATAGGGATGTGAAAATAGTTCCAAAGATTTATGAGGGTGCCTTTGAACCCCACAGCGTTTGTTTGTTTGCTAATTTTTGGTTGAATTTCGCGCAAAGCTACTCTAGGGCTATCTACTTTAACTTTTCTAATTTAGAAGTGATAGACTAGAGGGAAGGTAGCTAGTCAGCAGCACTCACCGCCAACCCTTGGACTACTCTTTTCTAACGAATTGTGGGATTGACCGTCACATTATAACTCTCCCACAGCTGAAAGGGCGAGCATGTTCGGTGATGGGATTCGAACCCGCAGTTTGCGAGTGAAACGCCTTAACCCCCAGGCTTTTTGAGCGCGTATATTTGTATCACGTGTTGCTGTTCTACTTGACAGGTGTCACTCTGCTTAATGAATAGAAATTATTGGACTTATGCGCCAGTGTGTTTGATTCAGCTGCTGTAACGGCACACTCTTATCAACAGGTACATGTGTCATATGACAAGTGTACGAATCACGCGCTTATATAACTTCACAATGATGTGTTCTTGTGGTACTGTTGGCTACAGCTTTCATTTATGCGCAAGTAGCCTTTTGTATAGTTTTGCGCGAAAATTCTTTAAAGAACAAACAACTTACATAAATGTAGCATACATATGCTTTGGTTTTGAAATTCCGGTAAATTTGTCCGCAAATTACAAGAACTGTATTTTAGTCTGAATTGTATTACTATTTATTATCATTACTTTAGCAATACTGTCGTTTATTTATTCATTGGAGGTATAAATTTCTGAGAATGAAATACGGACACATACATAAATATATACATATATATATATCTAGTAAGATGCTGTATTATTTGTAAGAATGTTATCAGTTTGACCCAGTAGGTTATTATGTGACGTAGTATAGACGTCATTGGCTGTCATTTCTTCCGTTCGTGTTACAGGTACGTGTTACTCGTTCAAGCTTTCTTGTACGTCTGTGAACAGCCACTGAAAAACACAGCGGCAGAACCTGTGCGTCGGTCTACAAGGAATGACGTTAGATAAAGAGTTATAAAACATCTTTCTCAGTTTAGTTAGTTTTTTTCTGTTGGGATAAACATAACCGAAGTTAGTTTTCTTTCCCCTATTAAATACTCTTAATATGAAGGCAGTTCTATCAGACTAGTTTTTTTTTTTTAAATATAAATATTGCGTTTTACGGTTAAGTTTGCAGAAACTTCACAAAATCAACAGTATATGTGATCTACTACTATCTGTGTAGGAAGACGTTATTGCGCCATTTGCGTTAGGTACGAAAGCCGTACGCTTATGATATAATGTACGCACCTGTAAACATGAGCGAAACGTTAGAACAGCTGAATCAGACATACCTTGATCAGATGAATGTGAGCACTCGGTTTCCTTGCAACAAGCTAGTAAAGAAAAACCTGATGGAATATTACCCTGGGGTAGAGTTGGTGGCTGCTCAAGTTATAAGTTCAATGGGAATGTTTGGTAGCATGTTAGCATCTTTTATGGTACCATATTTCTGTGTTGCTCGCTGGCCAGAAACACTGCGTGGTCCCAGGTACCAACTGGCTCTCAGCCTAGCCAACTGTTTCTCGGGAGGAGTATTTTTGGCAACATTTTTTGTGGGCCTGCTCCCTGAAGTGCGAGAAATGTTTGAATTAGTCTTAGAGTTGAAGAGTATCCACACAACTATTCCTATTACCGAGTGTATGGTCTTTGTTGGGTTTGCCCTCGCTCTTCTTATAGAGCAAGTAGTACTAGACTATCAGGAAAACAAAACTTCCGAGCTTTCACCACCATCTAATGCCTACGTTAATTTGGACAAGACGAACTGGGGCGACAGGCAAAATAATTCTGACTTGGACAGGTCAAAACGACTATTAAAAAGCCAAAGTCAAGAGTCATTGCTTTCTGTAGCTGGTCACTCCACAGATGAGGAGGATACGTATTATAATACAAGAATAACTCTATCTAATCGTATTTGTGAGGTTTCTGGCGTTGAACCTGCTTCTTCTGATCAAGAGACTCCCCCGTTGACCACAGGGAGACCTGGACATACAACTAGCCACGGCCATTCTCACGCAGACATAGGCAAGCTAATGCACCAAGAATCGGGTGTCCGTTTTCTTTTGCTAGTTTTATCTTTAACTGTCCACTCTATTTTCGAGGGCTTAGCCTTAGGGCTGCAGACTAATGTTGGCACCCTCCTTAACTTGTTCCTTGGAGTCGCTATTCACGAATTGCTAGTTGCGTTCTCAATGGGGGTTAACGTCGCCCGTCTCAAGCTGTCACGTGGAGCCACCTTACGGTTCTCTGTCCTTTTTTCCGCTTCTATTCCAACGGGGCAGGTAAGTTTCAAGCTAATTGACGTTATATATATATGTTTAAGTGCAGACTGAAGGTTAGAAATCACTATAAAAAATCATGCCCACAAAATTCAGAAGAAAAACTTTATTACTACCAAACGTTTCGGCTTCCTCGTACACTTAGGGTTGAACGTTTACCGACTATAACTGTCGGATGTGCAATTCAAATGATACGTTACAGAAAAGAACATAGTCCAACAATGAAATGTACCAACGTGAGACGATGGAACGCGACACAACAATGTAGGAAATGAGAAAAACGTTACAGAGATAAAATAAATTGAAACAGAATCAACGTATCCAAGATATAATAAATTGTCTAAATTCGAACTTAGGCAGATAAAATTACGAAAAATACAAGTTTTGAAATAGTTGAATATTGGAATATATGTATTAATGTGAATATTTTGTATTTGGTTGATTATTACGAAGTATAAACATTTCGCTTTAACCTTTAGTATTACCTAATTTTTCAGTATATTTTATACGTGTATCTTTCAATATATTATACCGCCTTTTCCCCCTTCAACATCGTTTTATCGCGTTTCACCTTCTCATGAAGTTATATTCTATTGTTGTACTGTTTATTTGTGTAACGTAGCAATTGTAAATACGACACCATTAGACATTTAACCCCAAAATATTGTGCAGTAATATTTTTTTCTCAATTTTATTATCGCAAATTCTGTTGTGTTATCAAAATGTGTGCAGATTTTTTGTTACAGAAAAAATGAAGACATTTTATTTTGACAGTAAATTTAGAAGTAAAAAAATGACACTTACTCTCCAGATAATAATAATAATAACTTTATTTAAACCAACGTTTTGATATAATAGCTTCATCTAGGCTAGTTGTACAAGAACTGTTTGATGTGAAAATAAATGTTAACTTGTTAAAATTGAAGCAGTTGAGGAAATCAAATTGTGGCAAGATATAAAACATTTTGAAACTGTCTTTAATTTTATATTTCTCGTAAGTAATATATGCCAAATAGTAGTATAGTAATATATGTTATAAACGACCTTATAACACCAAATTTGTTACCGTATTTATCGGTGTATAAGACGCACTTTTTTACCCCAAAATGTGATGTCAAAATCTGTTT